GAACACTCAGAAGAGCAGCGGAGAAGAAAAACACAACGGCGCGGCTACCGTCCTCCAACGGGATGGGCGAAGGTCAGATGATTGAGATGGGGTTCCTCGAAGCCATATATATAGGATAGAAATCTAGGGTTAGGTTTCCGCTTGATGAAACCTCGCTCTGGATTTACTGAAATGCCCTTATCTACAGTAACATTCATATTGGGCCGTATTATTGGGCCCTCCATCGCTATATCTTACGGGCCTTTTGTTTTCTTTCAGTTCTTTTCGCCAAGGGCGATTATTACAGTTTTGACCTTGTGTGTCTCCTTCAAACGGACGAATTATCCACCCCCGTTCTCTCCACAGGCGATAATGGTTTCAGGTGCTGCGGCAGCTGCTCTCCTCAGCTTCCATTCTCCCTTCAAGCTGCGCCACTCGGAGGCGCACCAATCCCCCCTCCCTTGCTTCCCCAAGAGGATTGACAGGTTATCACCTTCTGGAGCTGCGACTGAATCCGATCTCTCAGCTGCCTCCTCCGGCGCTCTTGCTGCAACCGCTGCTGCGCCTGAAGCGCTGAGTTCACATCGCGGTAGCATCGCTTCTGATCTTGAAAGCTTATGCAAACAAGGTAGAATAGAGGCGGCCTTTGAACTCATCGATCGGATGGGGAAACGTGGGATGCCAGTTCAACCCGGCGATCTTTCTCTGCTGCTCGAAGCTTGCGTCCAGTCGCGGTCGATTGCCCTCGTCAGGAGAGCTCACCGACGGATGATGTTTACTTCGTGGAAATCCTTCAAGCCAATCGTCGACCAATTGGCCTCTGTCTATTGTAAGCTGGGCAGCGCCGAAGACGCGCGCCGCGTGTTCGACGAAATGGTCGTTCGTCCCGGACTGGCCAGTAAAGGCGAGGCGGACCCCAAGAGGAGGGAGGCGTACGAGAAAGTGCAACGGTTGCATGAGGAGATGAGAGCGGCAGGGTACGTGCCGGACACGAGGTTCGTGCTGCACGACATCGACGAGGCGGCGAAGGAGCAGGCACTGATGTACCACAGCGAGAGGCTGGCCATCGCCTACGGCCTCATCAGCACGCCGCCGGGCACCACGCTCAGGATCATGAAGAACCTCAGGATCTGCGGGGACTGCCACAACGCCGTCAAGCTCATCTCCAAGATCGAGGGGCGGGAGATCATCGTGAGGGACAACAAGCGGTTCCACCACTTCAGGGATGGTGTCTGCTCCTGCAGAGACTACTGGTGAACACGTATCTGCTGTCGTTTATGTGACGCACTTTTGACGGACTAATTATATATTAGGAACTACCTTTTATCATTAGTGTGGTGGTCTTTACCGTTTAAAAAGTTGTATTATCATCTCTATAATTATAAAAATAAAATATCTATATTCATTTATCATATCAGTTTTATTAATACAAATATAAAAATAAATAATAAAAAAATAATTTTAACGTTCAGTAATGGACGATATCAGTGGCGATAGACGATAGCGTCGTTGGCATCAACACTGATGCAGTTGCCTGACTGTCTCTAACAATAATAAGGTCTATTCCCATCATGACACCACTCGCTGGAGGAATGCATCGTCGACCTCATTGTCACCCGCGACACTCTGCATTTGTATCGATGCTGATATAATTATCGAGCGACAACTGCAACAACATTGATGCAGATGGTAGTGGTCGTGGCGTCTACTAAAAAGATGGTGGTCGCATCGCCGCTAACCCGTTGGGCGGATCCCATCCTTAACTCAAAGCTGGCGTTGTCGGAGCTCCTGCCACTCCCCTCACTGTCACGTTAGTTTCAGCACCACCTCTTGTCAAATGGTCCTTTCGTCGCTTTGTATCTATGTTGACATCGACGAAGTTACTAAGCGGTGAAAGGACCATTTGACATATGCAGTAGTGTCGATGCAGATACAGAGCGGCACTGCTCCGCATCTATGTCAGCGCTAACGTAGATGCAAAGCGACATTGCTTTACATCTACGTTGACATTGATGTAGATGACGAGTGGCCCTTTTGTCGCTCGACAACTATGTTGACGCTGATACATATGTAAAGTAGTAAAATGACCGCTTAGCTAGAGGTGGTGTCAGAATTGACGCAACAGCAAGGGGAGCGATAGGAGCTCCGACAACGTCAGCTTCAGGTTGAGGCTAGGATCCGTCAAATGAGTCAGCATCGATGTAGATGTAGAGCAATGCGGGATGAGTGGCATCGCAACGAAAGCAGACTTTATCATCGTCAGATGTGACCAGGCAACTGTGTCGGTCTTCCTTTGTCGATACCCGTCTTCTATTTTAATAGCTTGGATAATATACTGAAGAGTAGTTCAAGTTATTTGAGATTTTCTAATATCTTAATCAAATTTAAATTAAGATAGCGTAAATCTATCTAATAGATAAGAGATATGATATGATTCAAAAATAATAGTTCCGATGAATTTCATGGATAGTTTTGAAATATATATATTTGATCATTGATAAGTAAATGATCCACTATTTTAAAATTATTAAAATCAGAATAAGTGAAGCAATGGATTGAATCTCTAAGATATATCTCCTAAAACTTATCGTTGAAGATTCTAAATCTATAGAGATATTCAATTTCTTTGAGAGATATTCAATTTCTCTAGAAGGATATAGAAAAAACATATAATTTTCCTATATCAGAAATTAGGCCTCAGCCAAGCTTCTAATTATTCAAGCCATATAGTAAATCCATTCTCATTAAATTTATCAGTTTAAGGAACATAAAATCATCTAAGGTCATTATAAGATTTAGGATTAAGCTTAAGGGAATAAAGCACATGCTGGATACCTGTAAAATAAAATTTACATTTTATTATGGTTACAAATCTTAATTTAATGGAGTTGAAAAGTAAGCTTAGATTTTTATTTCATCCTTTACAATATTTGTTATGACGTTCGTTTAGGATAAATAGATCTCACAAGTAATTTTGGTAATAATCTAATACAATATAAATAAAAATATAATTATATCATAATTAACAAATGCTTTTTATTGAGTTATATATTTTTTCTATAAATAAAATTGATATGTATAGAATAAAGGAATAACGTTAAAGTTATTTTATCTTTAATATAATTCCAAAAATATAAACTAAAGGTATAGCTCGAATTACCAAATAATCATGATTTTTTATAGATTAATAAAATAATAAAATAATCATTAAACAACTACAACAATGAGAATAACGCTTATAAAATATTTATTCTATAATTCTAACATAATAATTAAATTAAATTATTTAACAAATAATCAAACACTTACACAAGGATTTATATGAATAAATATGCTCTTTTTCGGATTAGCTCCCTGTTTAGTTTTAATCGGAGAAGGAATACAGTTAGATAGTTGAAGCAGTGATATTAATATAACCTCTAATTAAATTAAAATATGTTATATATGTATAAATTAAAATAAAAATTTTAGAAAAGGAATCCGAAAGGCAAGTATATTCTCTAACCTCAAGCAAGTATTATTGAGGAGTTGCCTAAGATATAATTGAGATAATTCTCTTACGAGTACAATCACGAAGAATCTTTTATATTAAAAAAAAAACAAAATAAATCGGAAAACTGAGTAAAAATAAGAAAATTCTCTTTTTTTTTATTTCATCCTCTCTTTCTCTATTTTTCTCACAATTAATGAGTAAAATTAAGAAAACTTCTCAATTTTCTTTGTTCCTCTCTTTCTCTATTTTTCTCATAATTTTGGTCAAAACTTTAGCATTTTTTTCTCACCAACAATGCTAGGAAGTGGCATATTAATATTCAATCCCAACCAATACGCAAGTGTCATGTGGCGCTGTAGAAACGAAGTAGCCAGTGACACACTCTCGCATGGCGCACACCAATGCGGTGCATGAGCGCGGGACACGTGAATGCCACGCTCGCATCGTGCACACCAATGCGGCGCATGAGCGCGCGACGCGTGAACGCCACGCTCGCCACACATGATGCACACCTGCCACGACACGGGTGTCCGCCATGCTCATACAATGGTGCACACGCGCGCGACGCACGAGTGGTATCGATTATTGTGGTTGGAGTAAATGGACAATTTTATAGTTATCCAACGTGTTATAAAATAAATTAAATATGATCATTTTCAAATATGTATCCAAATTTGATTCATCACAATTGATATATATATATATATATATATATATATATATATATATGAGCTTGGGCCAACCTTACGAACGAACGAAGAGTAAAACAACTGAGAGAGCAGTCCCTACTTGTCGACGTGAAACTAAAATTCCTAAACAGTGAAGGATGAGTTTGGATTTTTCCTCGAGGAATGAGTTTTGTAGTCGTATATCATCAAATCTGCGATAAGAGGCTGAGACGTGCAGGGAGACATCGTAACCTTCACGCCAAGACACCGAAGTAGCCATTTTGTCGCACAAACTGTTCCAGTAAGCTTCCAAGAACTTGACGACGACGAGTCAATAATGCCCCTTCACAGAGACGACCTGCCTGCCTTGGTCAAGGACTCAATGTGAGAGAGTTTGTCGTCGATAAGATTCTACCGAAGACGTCCGCGTGCAGCGTCTGCCATCGGCTGATGCTGACGCCACGGCTCTTTTCCCACTGTCCCATCGTGTCTTGGGTATCCATTCTTGAAGAAGGAACACAGTCCAGAAGCAGTCGCTTCATGAACCGGACGCAGTGCAAAGCTATGTTCTCACGACTGTTTGACTGGCCGATTTGAACAGCCTGGGGCGGAAAGGAGCGGTTGCCTGTTCCGACCTCGCTTCTTCTCGTTGACTCGCACGTGGCGAGCTGTGAGCCGCCGACCGTGCCGTCTCGTGCGTGCTCTACCATTTCACTCTCTCGATGCCCGCTTTCCGTGATCACCACCGGCATCTCTCGCCTCTCTGTCCGCCTTCCCAATTCATGCATATAGTAACACCACCCAGCTTCCTCTTCTTCCCACCTCCATCATCACCCATCTTCCATCGATCTCCTGCCATGCCCGCGGCGTCTCTGACCTTCATTCCGTCGCTTTGCTCTCATGGCCGCCTACGCGGACGCAGCCAGAAAATGGCTTCCGTGTCCGAGAAACCCGTGATGGCGATGCCGTCGTCGTCGGAGCTGCCGGTGCGGAAGATACCCGGCGACTACGGGCTGCCCTTCGTCGGGCCGATCCAGGACCGGCTCGCCTACTTCTACTTCGAGGGGCGGGATGCGTTCTTCAAGTCCCGCATGCGCCGCTACAACTCCACCGTCTTCCGCGCCAACATGCCCCCCGGCCCTTTTCTCGCCTCCGACCCCCGCGTCATCGTCCTCCTCGACGCTGCCAGCTTCCCGTTGCTCTTCGACACCTCCCTCGTCGAGAAGCGCGACCTCTTCACCGGCACCTTCATGCCCTCCACGCAGCTCACCGGTGGCTTCCGCGTGCTATCCTACCTCGACCCCTCCGAGCCCAATCACGCCCCCCTCAAGCGCCTCCTCTTTTTCCTCCTGTCCAACCGGCGCCAGGCCGTCATCCCTGAGTTCCGCCACACCTACGGGGCGCTCTTCGAGACGATGGAGGCCGAGATTGCCGCCAAGGGGAAGGCGGACTTCGGCGCAGCCAACGACCGCGCGGCCTTCGACTTCCTCGCGCGGTCCTTCTTCGGGCGCAACCCGAAGGACTCCGAGCTGGGCCTCGACGGCCCCGGGCTGATCACCAAGTGGATGCTGTTTCAGGTGGGTCCGCTCCTCACCCTCGGCCTCCCGACCTACCTCGAGGACCTGCTCCTCCATTCCTTCCGCCTCCCGCCGGCGCTGGTGCGGTCCGACTACGACCGGCTCGCCGCCTTCTTCCGCGAGTCGGCCGGGCCGGTACTCGACGAGGCGGAGCGGCTTGGGATCTCGCGGGAGGAAGCGCTCCACAACATCCTCTTCGCCACCTGCTTCAACTCCTTCGGCGGGATGAAGATCCTGTTCCCGAACCTGATCAAGTGGATCGGGAGGGCCGGGGCCCCACTCCACGGCCGGTTGGCGGAGGAGGTGCGGACGGCGGTGCAAGAGATCGGGGGCGGGGAGGTGACGATGCGGGCGATCGAGGCGATGCCGCTGACGGCATCGGCGGCCTACGAGGCGCTCCGGATCGAGCCACCGGTGCCGCTGCAGTACGGGCGGGCGAAGCGAGACATGGTGGTGGCGAGCCACGACGCGGCGTTCCAGGTGCGGGCCGGGGAGATGCTGTTCGGGTACCAGCCCTTCGCCACCCGCGACCCGCGGGTGTTCGAGCGGGCGGAGGAGTTCGTGGCGGACCGCTTCGTGGGGGAGGGGGGTGCGCCGCTGCTGCGGCACGTGGTGTGGTCGAACGGCCCTGAGACGGAGGCGCCCACCGCGGAGAACAAGCAGTGCGCCGGGAAGGACTTCGTGGTGATGGTGGCGCGCCTGCTGCTCGTCGAGCTCTTCCTGCGTTACGACTCCTTCGAGATCGAGGTCGGCACGTCCGCGCTCGGGTCGTCGGTCAAGTTCACCTCGCTGAAGAAGGCTACTTTCTGAGGAGCAGGGATGAGTGGCACCTTCGTTATTCTCGCCAAAGTTCACGGATATCTTTGGAGTCACAGGTTGCGTTGACCACTTGGTGGCTTGGGGTTGCGTTGGATGAGGCACGTGAGGCGCACGTGACAAAAGGTTTTAGTGGTGTGCACTAAAAGAGTTCTCTTTTTTTTTTTCTCTCAATTTTTGCTCTTCACCTAAACCAATGCATCTTATTAAATTGATTAAATCTACTAAAAAACATATTTTCTTGTTATATATATTTTTTTATTTGGCGGTGGTGACAACGATCAAATTATATTTCAGTTTTGTATCAATTCATAGTATTTTTAAAAATTATTTATAAAATAATTAGTCAATATTTGATTATTATTAATATCACCTCATAGGTTCACGCGAAATTATCTACTTTTGATATGCCCAAGTGGTTTTGCTCTTTCGGAGCTTGTGAACCTCAAAGACACTTCTAAAGATAAAAATGACATGACAGGGATATAAGTTTTTAATTCATTTACTCCTCAATTAATGTGGGCCTAAATATCCTTATCAGTGCTTCACTCGTAAGGGAGCCAATGGCTTATGACCCTCCTTCTGGCATTAATCTGATAATAATTTGATGTTGTGGACTGTGAGTTGATACAATCTAGTCTTGTCTCGAAGGCATATGATCGTTCTAGAAGGTCTTCTCAAGGGCAAGATGGGAGACATGAGTTGAATAGGGCCAACAAGGGTTGCTTCGAAGTGCTCTGTGAACTTCCAGGGTTGTCCTGAGGTGGGGCTTGTGTGAGGTTGATCTCTTCGGCGCCTTGCACAACAGGTTAGTGTCGGGTGAAAGTTTTCGACTTGACCTCTTTGATGGTTAGATTAGTTTTGAGTAGGGACCATAGTCTTTTTGAGGTTTAGAATCTGGTCCATGCTCAAGCATCAGGGATAGGTTTTTATACCTGTAAAACTTTTGGGAAGAGACCACAATCAATAAGGACTACTCATACATCCTTTTGTGGTGCATTCATATGGACAACTACCCAATATGGCCCCCCTACAGCACGAGTCAGTTGGTACGATCTCCCGAGACACGAGTCGATTGGTACAATCTTTCATGGTGTGGCGCTCGAGATGTATGAGCCAAGAAAATCTGGCCACATCAAGATGCCCCGCTATGAAGGGAACATCGAGCGAAGCGTGCCCAAGATATGTGAATCGGAAAAGTCTAACCTACACCAAAATGTCCATTACAACAAAGGCACCAAAAAAAGGTGCCCAAGATACATGAATTGACAAGGTTAGATCGAAGCACCATAATGGGATAACCAAATAAGGAAAGCAAAAAACCATGACCAACAAAAAGACCAAATGACATATCTCGAATCTTTTTACAAGAGCCCAAAGCATGTCTTTCGGGAGGGGGGGGCACGAATGATAGAGAATATTTCAATACCAATCATGATCCACCATATGGCAACCACCAAGGAGTTGATGTGGAAGACAGTAGGGCATCTACTTGATATAGAAGATGATCCGGTTGGCTGCCAACATCCCCTCAATTATCCTTTTCTAGCGTGGCATCGTAAAGGGCGTAAGGCTCAACGTCATACCACGAAAGATCATACTAGTCGATTTGCACCTCAAGGAGATTGTATTAGCCGACCCGCATCGTAGGGGGTCATACTAAATGGTTGTCCACATGAATGCACCACAAAAAGACATACAGGTAGTCCCTATCGATCATGGTCCCGTCCCAAAGGCTTTGTATGTATAAAAATTAGTCTCGATGTTTAAACAATGATCATATTCTGAACTTCAAAAAGGCCTAGTCCTCACTCAAAACTAATTTGAGCATCAGAGGGGTTGAGTCGAGAACCCCCACCCGACACTGACCTATTGTGCAGGGTGTTGAAGAGATCGACCTCACTCAAGCCTCATCTCGGGATAATCCCGAAAGTTCAAAAACCACCTCGAAGCAACTTTTGTCAACCCCTATTTAACTCTCGTCTCTCATCTCGCCTTTGTGAAGACCTTCCAGGATGGCCTTACGCCTTCGAGATAGGACCAAGCTGTACCGACTCACGATCCACGACATCAAGTTGTTAACATGAAAATTTGAGAATTTTATGTGAAAAATATTAGTAGATTTGATATATAAATTGTTGGATAATTAGACTAAGGTGGGTTTGAATAGAATGGAAGTATATATCAATGTATATGTACCTAGAAGAGACTGTAAATTGGATTTATGTTTTGTTGTTGATAAAATAGTTTGAATGTTCTCTTAATTTTATCACATGGTTTTTGTTTTTGTTTTCCTAATCTGTGGTAGTTTTCATAAACTATATAGACTTCAAACAGATACCTCAAATCTTGTACTGACAGAAGCCATCATAAATAAATATGATCTGATCTACTTGTAAGACAGAAAAGAAGAGAATTATTCTCGTTAATTCTTGCATCCGAGAACTGCTGTTTGTTTGTGTTTCATCCCATCCAAGCTCTGGGGATCATCGTAGCCAAACTCAACTCTCATCCCATCAGGAATGGGAATTGAAATGCCAAGTCCACCAACTTGCTGTCCTTCGGATCTTTAGTGTCCCCAAGAAATCTACGATGGCTTGCACTAATTTGACTGTGTAAGTGAGTACTGCACGAAAGCTGTGGCCACCGGTGAAATCCACTGTTTGGCTTCTTCCTCTAAGATGTTAGCAGATTAGGTTTTGATGAGGGAAAGAATGCGCAATATCAATGAAACACTGACGTGTGTAAAGCCACGCAAGATTTAATGAAAATTATTAACATTTTAAATATGAAGGCGCCATCAATTTTGCAACGTATCAAATTCATACGATAAATTACCGAATGATATATGGATTCACGCATGATCTTAATTAATTAAATAATTTTAAAAATAAATCAAATCTTGAGTTATATATTTCATATAGTAAATATCATTTCCTATATATTCATCTGACAGAAATAAAAAAAATTTTATATATATAATATTTATTTCTTGAAAACACCATATGATACGATGTTTGTCGTAGTCGTCGTCGAAATCTCATCAAATTACGATTAAAAAGAGTGCTTATAGACTTCACTAACTTGGAAGGATGTATGTGAAAAATAATAATAATATATATATTATTAATGATTAATTATAATAATAGTATAGGAATGATTCGATTTAGACGAATTCAATCCATCTGACTAGGAGGAAGATGATAGGTATGTCGATTCTTTAAAGATCGCATTTTATTTTCTGAGATCTAAAATTTAAAGTATTATTATATAAATATATTTAATTTTCTATTTTATTTTGAGTTGATTGGAGATGAATAATTAAGTTTTTACATAGGTTTTTTCAGTCTTGCATAGGTAAGGAAAAATAAAATATATGCTGCAAAAAGGGCAAGAGAACTCATTTTACCTCCCCCCACCCATAAACTGACGCAATAATATATAGTTTATTCTGATCCACAACAGTAGTGAAAGGTAGAAAAGGACAAAACTTTTGGACCGTTTAATATGTCGTCTTCCACTTCTCTCCCTCTCTGACACGTTCAACGCTGCCAACGATGATTCCCGTCCACGCGTCAACCCATTCCGTCCTCATCCCTATCACCTCTCTCTCGCTCGCTCGCTCGCTCGCTCTCCCAAAGACACCGCGTTTCTCACTTAAGACTGGCGCTCCGGGATCTGGGCTTTGCTTTCGTTTGCCACTCGATTGTCCTCGATCCCTCGTCATCCTTTGCTTCTTCTTCTTCTTCTTCTTCTTCTTCTTCTTCGGCCATGGGCCGGTTCGTCGAGGCGGATCCCCCCGCGGAGGCTGACGGCTACTCCTTCGCCACCGAATACGATGGCCCTCCGCTCACCTACGACATCCCTCGGGCCTGCCCCATCGACGTCGACCGCATCCCCCTCGCCGCCTTGGCCCCGCCCTCCGCTGCCCGCCCCAGCCCCCCCCTGGTCCTTCCCTTCCCATCCCCTAAGAGGCCGCCGCAGGTTCCCGTCGCCTCCCCGACCTCCGTCATCGAGAACCACGCCGACGTCTCCGGGGCGCTTGGCTCGTCCGGCTTCCTCGACCCCTCCACGGAGCCCTCGGAGGTCGCCGACGGGTCCGGCGCGCTTTGGTTCTCTGGCGATCTCAAGGGTGTCGCGGCTTCGTCCAGCGAGATCATCCCGAACCGGCCATCGTTGGAGTCGGCCCTCAGCTCGGGGTTCAGCTACCGGTCGCCCGCCTCCTGGAACGAGGACGGCGAAGATGCTATCGCTATGCAGGCGGAGGAAGAGTCACTTGGGACCTTCCAAGAGTCTGGCCTGTCCAGTTATTCTATGTCGCCGGCCATCGGAGTCACTCCCCAAACGAGATCAGAGGAATTGGAAACGAAGATAAAAAAGGGAGCTTGCTACATGTGCTTGAAAGGAAGCCGTTTCGCGGTGAAAGAGACTTGCTTGGTCTGCGATGCGAGGTATTGCAGTAGTTGCGTGTTGACGGCTATGGGCTCCATGCCGGAAGGGAGGAAGTGCGTTTCTTGCATTGGTTCTCCGATACTGGAGTCGAATAGGAAGAGACTGGGGAAGAGCTCCTGGATGTTGAAGAGGTTGCTGAGCTCCCTGGAAGTTGAGCAAGTGGTCAAGGCTGAAAAGAACAGCGAAACAAACCAGTTGAGACCGGAACACATCTGTGTGAATGGAAAGAAGCTTAGCCTGGAGGAGATGGTCCTGTTGCAGAGCTGTCCTTGTCCTCCTGCGCTGAAGCCTGGATTATATTGGTACGACAAAGTCTCTGGTTACTGGGGAAAGGTGAGCTACAATCTTTCCTGTAGTCCCCCTGCATTTTGTTCTTCGGGTTCCCTGTCTCTAAGATCCATGTGAGATGAAAGGGACAAACCGAGACCATATGTGAGAAAAGACACAAAAATCTTCTATCATTAGTCTTAAGCTTTAGGTCTAGTTTATGGAAACAATCTAAGGTAATGCTCCTCGAACCCCTCTCATTGGTGGGAGCTTCATACAAGAGGTTTGTCTATCTTTTGTTGCGTCTAGTTACCAATGGAGTAAATTGGTGCCCTAAATGGATATTAATAGTTACTTTTAAATGTTATTCCCCTATATAAGCAAACATGTGTCGTCTACTGCATCTTGGCTCTTCATTTTCTTTGTTGTATCGATATTTTGGCTATGATGTTGCTGGAAAATCAACAGGAAGGGCACAGGCCTGACAGGATCATTACTCCAAATCTGAATATTGGGGGAACCCTGATGCAAAATGCGAGCAATGGAAACACTGGAATCCTGATAAATGGTCGGGAAATTACAAAAGTTGAGCTTCAGATGCTAAAGGTACATGCAAAAAATTTAATGCTTCTTTAGATGTTTGATAGAGTTAGAAATAGATGCATCCAACCTGCCTTGCAGTGGGTGGGAGTCAATTGTGCTGGGAATCCCCATTTTTGGCTAAATGCTGATGGGACATACCTGGAGGAAGGGCAGAAGAATATAAAAGGGAAGATTTGGGGAAAGGTGACCCTTCTTAATGTTCGTTATGAATTTTCTTCTACAAATTGTAGACTGTCCAGAAACCGATTTTCCAATGGTTTCCCATTTTGCAGCCTGTTATGAAGCTACTCTGCCCTGTTCTTTCATTGCCATTTCCTGATAAGGTTGCAAATCCTTCTGGCGAAGAGGTAAATGACTTGGTCAGAAGATCTGTTTCTGAGTACCTTGATAAAAAAACACTCCGGAAGCTTCTGTTGGTTGGGAACCATGGATCAGGGACAAGTACCATTTTCAAACAGGTACTTTAGATGAACACTGCACAGTCACAGAAAAAATCCTATACTTTAGTCAGTAATTTCATGTTAGGCACAGTCAACTATGGGAACTGTCTGGCCTATTGTGTTAATTTACTCTTATAGAGGTACATCATGCATGTCATTGGCGTTTAGCATGTTAACTTTTATAGTCCTGATTTTCTATGTAGGATCTCATTCTTGAATGGAACTTGCCTAAGTTAGTGCATCCCATGAAGCTTGAACATCAAATTAAGGAGTTAGAGAGAAGCTTGATTTATTTTTTAGGTACTGAATTCACAGCATCCATCACTTGAGTAAATTTACATTTTCTTTCTCTATGTAGTGTCTATTCTTTGGTTGTTAGAAGGCAATGGTAACCAGTAATTGGCTTCCTTGAAGAGGATTATTACAACAACTGCTGCCGAAGTTGGCAATAACAAAAATGTTTTGTTTGCAATAAATTTTGTTTTCTTCTGATGCCAACTTCATTTATTGGCCATTGTCATTTTTATGATATATATAGGCCTAGAATTGTCATCTTGTGGCATTAACTGAGTTGGCAGGATGATTTCTTGGGTAGTGTGATTTGCACATTGATGCATGCCAAAAGTTGGCCCTTCAGCATGAGTTGGAGATGCCATGTGCTGCTTGACACATGCTGAGACGTCCTGATCGGGGCGACAATCCTTATTCTAAATGTTTAGAACTACTTTGTGCATGCTCCATCTCGTGATTGTGGTTCTTATTCAAAATGTTGCATGTGCATCTAGTGCCTTGTATATCTTGGAGAGTGAATTTGATAGTCTATTTTATGTTTTCCGTATTTGTCAAATTTGACTAGCTACTGAGTTTAATGGCCAATTTATTAGGCCAAGTTCTTGTATAGGAGTGTACCTTTCCCAGAGGTTGAACGCCAAGATACTAAGCTTATGATACAAACCAGCATATACAACTATATTGGCATACTGCTTGAGGGTCGTGAATTGTTCGAAGAAGAGAGTTTGGCTGAAAGAAAGGGAAACCAGCAACTACGTTTTTCAGGTACGAGGATCATACTATTGATTCCAATTATCAGTGGTATTCATCTAATAAAAAGTTATTGCTTATTAACAATTCATTTTGTTAAGAGATGAGTTCACGCAAATAACACTCTTATACACAATCATAGTTTTATAGATTCTATGTTGGTAGTCACTTCCATATCTAAGTTACTATTGATAAAATATAGTGCCTTTTTGGTCTTGTGGAGAGCATAATGGTGATCGTTAACCTTATCCTTATGTTCTTTCTGGTGAACCATGGGCTTTACTATGGTATACCACCACGCTTGGGGGATTGGTCTGACAATGTTGCAGTTTTGAGTGGCATATGCTGTGCAGCACGTACTGAATGACACCAACTGGATTTCAATCTAAATCAATCATGAATTTAGGATCCTATCTCCCTGTTCACTAACAGCACCGAAGGAGACTGTGCTGTAAGCCACTTGAGGAAAAGATGAAAAAGTTTAAGATATATTTTTTTCTGAAAACTATTTCTCTGCTTTTTGTATTTTGTTTTCTTTTGTTTCATTGATCTGCGATGACCAGGATAACGATGATAATTAGCATACCATAGCAATCCAACTCGTGACTTGTATGGGTATCGAAACTGAGAAAATCACTCCTGTGGAGGGCTGTTGGGGAAATTCTGAGCGAAGTTACACATTTCATATTCAAGAAAGCTTTGTAGAAATGAATACTGAAGATTTTGAAATTTAATCACTCCAGATATGGAATACAGAACTTTGTGCCGAAAGGGTAACATAATAATTAAATGTTAGTCAAATTCTGCCACACGTTCTTTAAAGTTTGTGGAAGTTGCTTACAGAATAATCTTAGGTTGCATTATATTGGTTCAAAGAATATTTGAATTTCACTTGACTTATTGTGTTTGAATATCACTTGCCTTCATCTCAGCCTTTGTGAGGGTGTCTAAGTGATGACTCTGCTCTCTGATGCGTTATGGGATAAATCCAACTGAGGTCATGAACTCTGGTAGTTTGGTTGTCAAGTTTGCTTTTACAAGTGGACATATTTGAACGAAACATTTAATTTCATTGTAAATGCTAATTGTGTTTTGAGATAAATAAGACCATATAACAATTTATAACCATGGGGTTTAATGTAAAATTCCCAGAATAAAAATATTTTTCCACCTGATTACAACATCCTTGATTCACAAGCCAATTTACAGTTTCATTGTAATTCTTACTTCTTAGTTTGTTTAGTTTCTTTTGTAAATTTATCTCTTGCATTACCTGGATCTTTCAGTAATTGTTTCTGATTTAATAACTCCCATAAAGTTTTTGCCATATATTCTTTTCTAATTCCTTTTTGTTGGCGTTATGTTAAAATGTGCAATTCTTTACATCCTCGGATGATATTGGATATAATGATATAATCCTTTGGTTTATCATAATATAAGGCTTAGGCTTTACATGCATTTTTATTTGCTTGGTGTTGATGTATACTCCTAGGCAAACTACTTTGTCGTCCTTTTTTCTTGGGAGTTTGATATAATAGAATTCAAGTTCTAAGTCTATAATTATATGAAAGGCAGGAGTTTATATAATAGTTAAACTGTTTAATTCAATTTGTTGAAAGCAGGAGATGCTGAATTAGACAAAGAGAAGATTGTGACAGAGTACTCCATCAGTCCACGGCTGAAAGCATTTTCTGATTGGCTTCTTAAACTTATGGCTTCTGGCAAACTTGAAGATATTTTCCCAGCTGCTACTCGGGAATATGCCCCACTAGTAGAGGAGCTGTGGAATGATTCTGCTATTCAAGCTACATACAAGCGCAGCAGTGAACTTCAACCAATCCCTAGTATTGCCAGTTACTTCTTAGAACGGGTAACATTCTCTTTCCGTTTCTCTTTTTCTGTTATCTTGCAACTCCACTGGAGTTATGACACCAAAAATTCAAAAATGACTGTTCATCTCTATTATGATCTGATAGAATGGACTCCTTCAAATATGGTTATGTTGGCATAGTAGGTGAGAGGAAAGGTACTTTGAAAAGCTCTGGGTGGCAAAATACAGGATAGAATTGACTACTGAAATGAAATTAACCATGGAGATGGACTTTAATATTGTGGTAGTGGTTATTTAACTAGTGGTTTGGGAATTTATAAGAATGCTTTATTGATTTTGGTGGTGATCTAGCAAAACCTGCATCATCAGTTGATAACTATTTTGGTGTTCAAGTAGGCAACTGTAGGGTAGGATGGCTTGTTTGATTCCAGCATTGAAATTTAAATACTAGGATTTTGAAGTCAACGGAGTGAATGGGGTGTAAGGAGAGCGGTGTTGTTCTATTGGAAACACAATGATGAACAGAATCTATCCATCACTATTTAGAATGCGGACTATTTGAATTCTTAGGTATGCTGGGGATCTTTGATCTTTTATATTAATAAGGAGTAATAAACAAAAGCTCTAGAAACCCTTTGCACATGTGATATAGGTACACTGAATTTTTTTCTTGCCATAGACAAGATAGAGAAACATAAGCTCAATTCTGAAATGTGAACAATTATATCTCTTGTTATGGACACAGGATAAAGAAAAATGTAAGCAGCCATAACCTAGAAACACTCAGAGAATTGAAGAAATTTACTTTTTTAAACCAGAAAGAAGCTTTTTGAATTACTAAGTTCAATTTTATGAGGTGCACATGTGGAGATACCTAAGTTACTCCCTTCACCTTTGATTTGTGGTTGAATCCACAGTGGAAGCAGGACTTTTAGGTAGTGCTTTCAAACTATGACCCCTTAAACAAAATTGAAAAGCTGTAGAGCTTCACTTTTCTCCAAATTCACATTAAAATTAGAATATGCAAATTCAACATCACCTCTTTATGACTGATATGATGAAACTTTGGGTGCGAACACGCTTAAAAAACTCTTATTCCATGGTTAGAAGTTGATACTGATTCTGTTATTAATAATTCTTCAGGTTGTTGATATATCCAGAGTTGAGTACGAGCCATCTGATATGGATATACTTTATGCCGATGGAATAACTTCCTCCAATGGACTAGCATGCGTGGACTTCCATTTTCCAGAGTTGCCTTGTGCTGGAATGAGTATTAATGACCATGATCATCAGGAAACATTGTCAAGGTTGGTCAATGCTGTATCTGCAGTAATTTGATTTCATGATGTAAGATGTTGGAGATATTTTAAATTAGTTGCCTTGGAAAAGGTAAGAGAAGTTAAAGGGAAATGCATATTCTAGATTTTCTTACAGTTGAACACTTTACTTTATGAAGATAACCCTATTCTGCATCAGCTAGTTTCCATTCTGATATTTCTTTTCGTATTCTGTATCATCTTGACCAAATCCTTATTGGATCTCAAGAAGTAATATCTTTATGGATTTATCACAGAGCAGCATATAATGATTCACTGAGTTTTTTTCCATTTAAATGACAGGAAGGTTGAGCCCATTCAAATGAATGATGCAATGTTAACGATAGGATCTTTCTTCTTGTCTGATATAAGTCCATTCCCTGAACTTATTTTCATGTGCTGCAGGTACCAGCTCATCAGAGTTCATAACAAAGGCCTTGGAGAGAACTGCAAATGGCTCCACTTGTTTGAAGATGTCCGGATAGTCATTTTCTGCGTCTCTCTGACTGACTATGACGAGTACTATGAAGATTTGAATGGGGTGGTCATGAACAAGATGATGGAGAACAAAAGGCTCTTTGAGATCATTGCCAGGGCTTTCAAACAGATAAATTTTCTTTTGATACTCAGTAAGTTCGATTTGCTTGAACAGAAGATAGCCACAGCTCCTCTAACCTTGTGCAAATGGTTCGACGACTTTGATCCTGTAGCAAGCCACCATCGACGTAATAATAGCAGGAACAACCGTGGTACCAACATCGAGTCCACCAAGTCTGAGCAAGCATTTCAGTACGTTGCTGTGAAATTCAAGAGGTTATTCCTGTCTATTACCGGTAGAAAACTCTTTGTTACATGGGCAAATGGGTTGGATTCAGATTCCGTCGATACAGCAATTCGATATGCAAGTGAGATAATCAAGTGGGATGAAGAATGGTCAATGTGTGACTCGATCGAGTCGATGTATAACACAGAACCAAGCCTCTTTTCTCACTGACATTTTCAGTGAACACAGATGTAAATATATAGCCTTTCCCTATCATTTTGCCTCCGTCTATAATGTCATCCATTGTATGTATCCATTGTTTGTAATAGTTCATTGTAGGAGGGACAATTACACTTTTCAAGAATTTTGACGATGACTTGTACATCAGTCGATTGTGCATTGCAGAAACAGACTAAATAACCTTCTTGGACAAGCATTTGTTGTTCTCTCATGATGTCATTTTTCAATCTAAATTTCTTCTGGATCAGACAAAAGGTCTCTATGCTCACAGGAGAGGATAGCAAAATCATTACTTGCGGGCATGTCATTCCACTTCTTAAGCAATCAGGCGTTGATTGAATGGAGTTACCAGATTTGTTCTCTCTCAGTCACAAAGAGAAAAGAGAGCAGAAAACTCGGTTGGATTTAGATCATTTACATACAGTGATCATACAAATACGCAATACACATAGGGGTGATACAGAGTTCTAAGGAAGGATCAACTGGGAGCGAACCGATCCATGAGCATGCACACAGTGGCTTCCGACAAGCCCACTCTCATCTTCTCCTGCACAGCTTCCTTCTTCTTCTTCTTCTTCACTGAAAGCGGCTTCTCTCTCCCCTTATCCTCGTCTTCCTCTCGCCTCATGAAGCTGCAGCTGGGTGCGGTCTGCTGCTCTATCCCGAGCTTGGCAATCACACCCATCCATACTCCGACAAAGCCTGACATCTCTCCCTCTTCTTTTCAGAATGCTTTTGCTTCCAGAACTGCAGGTTTCTGTGAAATGGAGCAGACCACTGTAGAAATATATATAGAGAGAGAGATGAGAAGAGGAGGCGAAGGAACACGGAAGAGGATTCGTGGAAACGGGGAGTAGTCACACACGGTTTTGGAGCGGTCCAACTTCGCAGTCGTCTCCTCTTATCCATTTTGTCGCAGAGTAGCCGAGTCCGGCGATGCTTTCTAAGCCGATTGGATTTATCCCGCCGGGAATTGCTCCTGTGAGCAATTATATATATATATATTTGAGAATTAATTTGGACCTTTTATATGTGAGACCGACTGACATCTCATTTTAATTTTATATTGAAAACGAGAGAAAAACAATAAGATTAGGTAAACGTATTATTTGATTTTAGATATTTTGGATCAATAATTTAGACGTCGACAAATCTTTTATCGAAAAAAAAATAATTGTAATTATTAAATGAAATATCTACATTCCTCAATTCTTTCTTAACATGTGAGCAATAATAATCTTCTAATACGGTTTTGTCAATTTCTCGAGACTATGACATGTATTAGAAACGATCTATATGACTGATGGTGATGTGCGCATAGGTAGGAACCATTGGGATCAAATATCTGCAGTATTTTCTAGGAGATATTTGTTCGGATTTTTTCTTTAGATAAATGGTTGTGCCTTTCAATACATATATATGTATATATCTATTATAATTCAAAGAATATCTTTCATTCTGATTTTTATTGACATGACGGATTTGATTTGTTACCTTTTATTCTTTTCTGCCAATCTGCTCTTTAAACTTAGCTCTCGACTCACATGATGTTTTCCGACAAGCTTCAGTCAATTCAAAAGCATACACAGTGCCTTCAGTGACTTGAATTCTAGCAAGATTCTCTCAGAAGGAACAAGATGTTTCTACATGTACACTGACACTGCAACTCCCCAAGTATGCTTGTCTATGGATGGATTTCCAAGCAAGACTTAGGAAAACTAGAAGACATCCTTCTAAATCTTGATGGGTTTCTTCTTCTTCTTCTTCTTCAGCTTTCGTTTGACATGATCACCAGACTAATTGGGCATCTCCTAACTTCACAAACACTCCATTTGCCAACCATGGCGGCCTAAGGTGATCTCAAGGTCAGGCAGCTTGGAGAAAGCTCTAAGATCTGTGTGTGCAGTAGGCATGGAGATCAGCTCTACATTTGGAACCACTACCTGCGACTGAGTGAGTAGATGATCTTGCCCCAGTACCTGTTCATGGGAGATGAAGGATCAAATTATCTTACTAGAGAAAGATCAACAGATATGGTGAAACACAATGATATATTGGCAAATGACTCTATTATCTCCACCATCCACTGCTATTGATTTGAGACCACAAAGCACATGCTATGTCACCCATTCAAGGATGCATTTTTGATACCTACTGAAACATCTATGAACAGTACGCTTAACTATAGCACAGTCAGTACAAAACAATTGGAAAATGTAGTCCACAAACCTGATTGTCATTGCTGAGCAAATTATCATTTCTGAAGTAGAGATATGATGAGGAGTTCTGCTTGTTTGATGGATTCCAACCACTCCCAGCCGTGGATGGATGAAGCTCTCTGCACACACAAAGATGGAAATAGAAATCAGGAACTTAGAGAAGTAGATCTTCATAGGTGCCAAAGTTTGATGAGAATATCCATTCTTCAACAACAGTGGCATGCACAGTTTTCACTGCTCAAGCTGCATCACCAGTTGGGAAAGTAACCGAAATATGGGCTCGTCTTTTGTCATTGTTTGTAGCTATGACCTTTCGACATTCAATGTTAATGGGACAGAGATAGTTTAGCATCCTAAGGACTTCAATCAACCTTCCTGTTGGTCCTCATATATGTTAACGTTACTGTTCTCTTCTCAGCTTCCATCAATGGAGGCACAGGAAAGTGGGCCGCCTTCTTCTGGCTTATCTCTTCTTCATGTGGCAGAGTTAAATAGTTCATAGAGTCTGTAATAACATTTACTTTTTCATTCATTGTGTGTTTATATTAAAACAAAGTTGTCCAGAAGTTTTTCCTTGATCTTTATGAATAATAACATATATGCTCAACCATCTTGTTGTTCCCCTACAAAAGAAAAACTATCATAACTAAGCCAAAAGGGCAATAAATTTGCCTTTTCTTATGAAAATTGTAATAGAAATGACTGGGTCTAAGGCAACATGATATGAACTGTTTGACTGTTTTAGTTACTGGATGTATGACACAATGTACAAGAACCTTTATCATCTCTTCTGTGGCAATTCTTGGGATCCTCTTCTTCCTCTTCTCTAAGTTTCTGGATGGGACAACATCGCAGGTTCCTAGGTGTAAAAGAAACTTATGTAGCATCACCCTATCTCCGTTTGCTAAGGTCCATCCTCCCTTTTGAACTCACTCTTGTTCTGAAGTCAACCTTTTTCTTTTCTTCTTCATCTGACATTTCCTTTTGTTACACGAGAAAACTTCTGAAGCAACTTGCATTCCGGATAGAGTAGGTCATATTTCAATCTTCTTATGTTGGCTAGAGAATGCTATCTATCTTCATTCATTTAGGCATTTTTGTCCTGAAGAGTACTCAACCTGAGTTCATGCTTTTCATCAGCATTAATATGCAAAAGAAAAAACACTATCTGAACATGTTGCCAACATCATGCTAATTGTATTAACCAACCATATCAAGCAAGAAGCATTTTGAATGTATGGTTCAGTGAGGAGGAGATGGATGGAGTAGTTCACAGACCTAGAGGACTTGGGCAGTGGTGTTGCAGGGGTTGGTGTGATGGGGAAATCATAACAAGGGGTAATGTCATCCCCAGCTTTACCACTTGGTACGTCTCCCTCCACTTCCTCCAACCCTGTCCTCTGGCTGAAGCCCATGTCTGCCTGACCTTGTGCTGCTGCAGCAAACCATTTCATCCACCACTAAGATCCAAATGGTTGTACTTCATGAAACAACAGACTAATAATTCAAGCAAGGAAAGGCCAACCCGGCCACCAGTGAGATGACCGGGTGACAGAACAAACACCAAAGACATGTATTGTGAAGGCGAAGGAAAACTCGAGTACCTGCCGCTCCTCTGTCAGTGCTCTTCACGGTTCTATACATCTGCAGCAGCATCCACATGAATATTAATATGTAACCAAATTAAACTAGAGGAGAAAGATTAGAAATAGATGCCATTTTGTCCTTTGTACTTGGGTGCATGTTGGTAACCCAACACAGAACCCTAACCCTACTATCATCAACAGGACTTGTGCAGGAGAGAGGAGAGTTTACCACCGAGCTCTTGGGTCTGTTTCGGTTCATGAGAAGAAGACAAATACATGTTTTTGATCTCCTTTTTCATACCTGCAGATGGCTCTTTACATGAGCTAGTGTCAGATCCTTCACGTTCATCAGCTCCAGAACTGATTTCGGTGTAGCTCCTGCCAAGAAGGATCATAAGAGTCTCCTAACCAAACAAGAACGGTTGTCGTGTGTCAGTGAGAATACTTGGAGTTGCCATGCTTACTCTCGTGGCCACCGAGGAGCTCCACCGCATGAACAAAGTGGGCGTGGAGGGTGGTAGTCCACCTCATTCTCGGAGCCCTGAGGCTTTTCTTCCCTCGGGCGGGTCGCGGATTCCGCTTGAATCCATAGATCTGAGGGTGATGAAGGTGGTGGTGGTGGTGGCAGTCATGGTGATTGGTGAGACTAGACGCCGGGGCTTGCAGCCCTAGGCTCAGCGTCGGCTCGGCGTGGCCAGTCTCCCGTCCTCGGTCACGGTTCAAGAAGGCTTGATCAAGGCTCATGTTGCTCTCGCTGCTACCGGAGTTCGTCGGTGCCGAACTGTTATGAGCCCCAAAGAAAACCCCCATGGCCGAGGCTCCGTCGACCGAGATCGACGGTGGGCTGATGTGGAGTGAGAGGTCAGGGAAGACGGTTGCCATTTGAGCTCAATGGATCTAATGGGGGAAGATGAAGATCGCAAAGGTCGGCAGTCTGAGAGTGGAGGTTTGGTGAAAAGCTTTTGGAAGGACGAGAGGGGTTGAGAGAGCGAGAGATCTTTGGACAGGAATATTACCGAGGGATGAAAAGTAGAGAAAGGGAAGGAAGTGCTGAGAAAAATAGAAGTGTTTCAGTGATTAGGTCATGAGTGGGTTATGATTCCCGAGGGTGTTATGCTGAGCGTATAAACTATGAAGAGGAGAGAGAGAGAGAGAGAGAAGAGGCAAAAGTATAGGGACTAGCGAGAGGATAATTAATGCTGGAGAATGGCAGCAAGATGTGAAGGAATTGCAGGTCCTGCAGATAGCTAGTCAACAAGGCATCAAATGCAAAGAGACTGAACACTAGAGCAAAGGAGCACAGTACATATTTTAAGCAAGCAGAGGTATAATACCTAGTGAGAGAATGTAAGATATCTTTCCTCTTCCATGAAAAGGAAGGGAAGGATGGTGCAGGTAACAGATGGAAATGGGTAGAGAGAGAGAGAGAGAGCGCCTTGGATTTTGAGAAGAATAGTAGTAGTCATTTGACATCATCAGACTGAGACCTAACTTACCCATTATGCCTCTTGAGAGGTGCCTGAATTGGCCTCTGGCGAAAGGGATTGGGAAACTGCCATTAAGCCAACCAGTCAAACTAAAAGGTAGAAGAGAAGACTGGCATGCTTTAAGATTCGGACGAGCATGAAATGGGTTCCTGATCACATCCCAACCTTACAATAGAAGGAGACTCGATGTCAAGTGACCTCCAAAGGATCAGCATTTCTTGCACATAGAAGACTAATCGAACCCAAGTCGATCCAATCCACTACAGATTGCCGGTCTAATTTGACTTGCGGATATTGAAACTTGCACAAAGAACAGCAGCAGTTGCACACACAACGATCAGCTAAAGACGAAGAAAGTGATTACACGGGAATAGTCATAGAGCTGCTCCGAAATTGTTCGCAGTAAAGGCCGAGTGTACACAGGTGCCATTACTTTCTTCCTAGGTCTAATCTCCTGCCATATCATTGCCATGGAGATCAGAAGTGCACACGCTGCATGCGTGGTGATAAGGTATTGGCCAATCAAAGGGAAGAACTAATAGCTTCGCAGCTCATCATTCTCTCGCCATTGGTTGACACGGGGTTGCAGGGATGGCCGGCGACAGCGGAGCTGCGCTCTACGTGCATGGGGCTTGGCCGATCTGGACCCTACGCTGCAACCCTCGACGGCTAGCATTTGTCGTCTCCTCCCCCTTCCCTGTATTCCCTCTTCCTGTCTAAATATTCTCGAGCCCCTCGAGGTTACCATGCCCCTCACACGTGACACCGAGTATAAAACACACACACACACACACTCTCTCTCTCTCTCTCTATCTCATGTTCTCTATTGTAATAGAAACTTGGCTGATCCTAATACAAACGATTGTTCGAGTCATTCTCCATTTTTTTATGACCCTAATTAATATGAGGTTTTGACTAGAATTGTAGTTTCACTGTTTGATGCATAAAATAGAGGGATCAAACCTCGATCTACTGGATTAATAAGGATGAGACATTAAATACTAATCCAAAGTGTGAGCTGCTTGCATGGAAGCTCGAAGTGGACAGTATAGTACGATTCTTTTATTCCATTCTTCTAGTGGACGGGTAAAAACAAGGAGGAAGAAGCTTTTGAGCAGAGCGGTGGGGATTAAAATAAGAGGGGTTGACCATTTGTTAGTGGATTTCGAAGCTGTGGTCAGCGCCAGACACGGTGATCTCCTCGGGCCATACGACTTCTATTATTGCATGGCTATTACGTCCTTAGGTTTTAGATCATGTAGCAGTATAAAAATCGCTTATTCTTCTTCTTCTTCTTCTTCTTCTTCTTTTTTACTTTCCTTTCATGGAGGGACGTGACCATTTAATCAGTCAAGTGCAATTCACAAGGAAGGTGGTGGCCGAGGCAACTTTGTCTATATTAATTATGTTTATGATCTTTACAGGGAGAAAGGAAGAGAGGTCAAAAGGAAGAACAGCTTTTCTCGAGTGGTGCTACGGATTTAGAGTTGCGACACTGCTAAATCTTGGTCATGTGATGTGAATAATGGGTAGAAGAACTCGATGAGCCTCATCTTACTGGGAGAGATCTAAATTGGTTCTGTGCCATTCGTCAGGCAATAGGGAAGCCTTTTGCAGCCCCATCGAAGCATCTTCTTCATGGCTTCAGCCTCCCATTGATTGCAATCACCTTTGTGCCCACAGCTTGTGTCAAGGCCACCATGCATTGTACTCCTTCAACTTTTTTGTCCTCTCAGCTTTTTGTCTCTCTGAAAAGTTTGGTCACATGGAGAAAACCAGAAAAAAATAAAAGATACCTTTTCCTCTTCTTTTACATGAAAAAGGAAAAGTATGCTTTCACAATGTTCAAATCATTTCACATATATATATATGGGGTATATGTATCATGTAGTTCTTCATCTATTTATATGTCAAGTGGCATTAAGCCACTCCAACTCTGTTTGTGTGTGTGTGTATGTGTGGTATGCTGAACTCGCTCTATTCTCTCTCGTTTATTACGTACCGAGTTGTTGATCGGCATCAAGCAGACCACCGAGTCTTGTGCAGACACAGCTACGTGCAACCATGGAGGTTCTTTAGCAGCAATAATATTCTTCAGTCAAACCCCACATCAAGAACTCAATAATTGAGCTCAAAAGCTTGCCACCTTTTCACACCACCCCAACCTTTATCTTTTCTCTCCTATCAAAGAGAGCCCACCCTTTTTACCTGCCTCTACTTAGCCCTGTCAAGTCTTCACACAAATCTATGGCCAGAAACTTCATTTGGAGTCACAAACCCTAGCTAGCAACGAAAAGAACAGGCTACACAACGACTATTCTTCTGCTGCCTTACCAGTCTCCATTTATATTTACGGAAGGGTGAAAACAAAGGAGCATGCGTTCATGTCCATGCCAATCTGTCGCCTCGAAGGTTGGAGCAGTGTTATTAATCTGTAGGGGAACCTCCAACGCTTGCAGAAGTACCAGTGTTCTTGTAGCTGTGGATGCATGTTGGACATGGGGTTGAGTCACATGAGAACTATAAATGCTGCACCTTCATCGTGTATGGAAACCCATACAGCATCGGTGGATGTGATCTGAGCCTAATGGAGATTTTAGCTGGGTGAAGTCCCAAGAACATTTGGTTTATGTCAGACATGTAGGTTGTGGACAATATCTGAATCACTTTCAAGTATCAGTCCAGCTGTATCAGATCGAAATTTGCTGCTAAGTTCTTGTTCTGTTCTATCTTTCTGATAAGATAAATTAGATTGCAAGAAATAATTCCCAACTTTAGAGGTTTTGCCACATGAAGCCAAACCTGTAACTCAGCTCGGAATTGAAGCAGAAGACAGTAGAAGACCAAACTCAAGAACTACATGTTACAGTCATTCAGTGTTGAATGGATTATTGGCGGAAATAATTGGAGAGTTCTACCTTTTTCTTCGTTCTATCACTGATCTCCATGGCCTTGTGTGTCCTTTGGTTGCAGGAGACATATTGCATTTCCATCAACAAATGCATCCATGTAAGAACTTCTGCTACGTTATATTCTTCCATGATCAAAAGCATTTTTCCCTTTGTTCGTCCCAATGCATGCAAATTCGACCTCCACATCTCTATCCTCACCAAACAGTCGCATCCCATCCCCAAAGCTGTCGCGTTAGGGTTCTTACGTGCTCCATCAAAAGCCTGGGAATCTCGGTCTCGTTTCTCTATCTGGGTTTTAGCATCGAGTCAAGCTGTCCACCATCTCCCGGTTAAAGTATAGAGAGATAGAGACGATCGAAAGATGCCTTAGAACGTCTCATTCAGCAGTAAAAGCAGCATCGATCCATGTTACATATATGTAGAGTGAGGTCCGATGTCTTTAATGAGGAATGACAGCGAGATGGTGATGGTGAAAGGGCGATGAGTATTATATAGCGGTTGCGATCTTTGTAGCGACCACGCCATTGTTGATCGTCGGATTCCGTCATCGCGCTTTATGATTCGCGCCGTTAGCGGCGCTTTATGATTCGTGCATGCAAATTGGTTTAAGAGGAAGAGGCCCGTGGGCCGGTCCCTTCCAAACAGACGCAAGTCCATGTCTCGTCGTGCAGATCAAACGCTATACCGCTCTCTCCCTCCAAACGGATTGGCGCGTGTAGATCGCCCTCCTCTCGATCTGCTCCGGCAGCCCCCTGCCTGCGCCCTTCCCCGGTACATCCATAGACCTAAAAGCCCCCCATTCTTTTTCCCTCTACCTTCCCTGTTCTATTGATCCCGGAGGTGCGTCCATCCCTTCATAGATTTCTGAGAGAAATGAGACGACCGCAGTCCTTCCTTTCGCTCCACAGGTTGGTTACCTCTCCTCGTGTGGGTTTGTTAGGATCGCTGGTTGGCCATCCCACTGTTAGGTATGCGAAGTTCTTCCAAAATATGAAACCTTTTCTTCTCTGTTCGTTGATTGTATGGCAAATATTTCTCTTTTTCTTTTAGAATTCGAGTATTGGTCGATATAACGAAATTGGTATTGATATTTGATAGGAGAAATTGTGAAAGATGGCTTGTGCAAGACACAGGGCGTCGTTCAGGGGGGATCACTGTCTAAGATGATGTAGGTTTCCTCTATTCCCAGTTGATCTTTGCGAAGTGAATGGTTAGGCGACCTATTCTGAAGGAAAGAGAAAAAAAATACTATCATGTTGTGTATAAACTGTGTTTTACTAAAATCAATCAAATACCTTCATCTCTGAAATTTATGATGTTTAATGAGGCAGACAACCCTTTTTTTTTTCCTGATTGGGATGCATACGTATGCAGAGTTTCTTCTGACTCTGTTTTGAATGTTAAAGGACTCAAAAAGGAGAACTTTACATGATTCATCAATGCCTCTTCCATCTTGCTACAATTTGTTTGCCTACTAAAGTTTTTCCACATTTATCTACTAATACAGAAATGAACTTTGGTTCTTCCTAGATGTCTCCTACGTATTTTGAGATGACACCTAAATTATGCATTTTTTCTTCGGTGTTCATTTTCATAGGGTGTGTTAACGAACAAATATATCGATGAGTCAGCACAGTTAGATCCGCGGGTCGATGTCAGAAGCTTTCTGTAGAGTGAGCTAGATGATGAGATAGCCGCACCCTCAGAAAGGAGTGATGGTTGACGTTGGTCTGGATCTGGGCCGATTGACAGCTCTCCGTTGCGCGGTGAATGGCGTTGCTTGGGTTGAGACGCTTGTCGCTCGCAGGTGATCGTTCGCTTGTAAAAAATGGCTCTCGTCGGGTGATCCTCGGCTTTGACCCCTCCGATGAGCAAGTCAGTGTGGGTGGATTATTTTTTTTTTTATGTCTCTCTCCCCTCGGTCAGATGCCGGCTAAAGGTCTTTATATTACTGTACGTGGGTCGGTCGTACGCGGGTTGACGTGGTGGACGTGCTAAATAGTGTCTTGGTATGGATTATGACAGCGTATCTTGGGGGTGACGCTGTCTCGGGATTCCCGAAACGTGACGTACCAAGCAGCGTCTTAGTACGGTTTCTGATTTAGCGTTTCTTGGGGGTGACGTCGTCCCGGGATTTCCGGGACGAGATGTGCCGAGCAACGCCTTAATACAGATTCTGACTTGGAGTGTGACATTGGTTGTAATATGTCTTGGACCTAAAATATAATCAGGATGCTTACCGAATTGTCTTTTAAGTTGGCTTTTTGCAAGGGCCACTAACATGTCATTTCTTTGTTGAAACTCTATTCTTGGCTGCTTCAAGGTGATATTGCAATCCCCAAAAAGAATACTCTGTTGGTCATCCGGAAAATTCAAGTTAATAGTATGTTAAATATTGGTCTAAGTGTTAGATATCTGGTTAACCTGTGGGGGTCCTGATGCAAAGTTGTCAATCTCTTATGGTCCCAAGCATGTGACTGAGCTCCTTAAAACTCCTTTCTTAATCTGGTGTGATGGATTCACTTATCTAATTCAATTATCTCTTTATCATAGTGTTCTTAAAGACTGTCCCATATGAGTAATATGCATCAGAAAGCTTCAGGTATCATAGTTAAAAAACTGTTTGACGTGGATTAGGTCCATTAATGATGATCATTGGCAGTTTGTGCTCAAGAATGTTACATTGTTGGATTTCTCTCTCTTTGTTGTTATCTGGCACTACCCAACAACATATCATAATTGGAACATTTGTTTGGAAGTTTGACCTGTTGATCATCCTTGTCCTGTAACACAAACGTTCAAGTATTCAAGAACTGTAGCATTGCCTTTTTCGATGATTTCATTTGTAGTTGTGTTGCTTGTCATTAATAACTTATAATGTGTGTTTTCCCTTGAATGTTCACATAGGTACTATTAATAAGAGTAAAATGCATGGGAATGATAATGATTTTTATTGTGATGCAAACAGCCTTAAGGATAACCCTTTTTTCACTATGTAAGATTTGCACATATGCTTTTTCTGCAGATTTTGGTAAACATCGTCTTTTTCTTGCATAGTAAAGATTGTAATTTAATAGTACATGGTAATCTATCCCTTTCAGGTCATCACACACACAGAGAGAGAGAGAGAGAGAGAGAGAGAGAGAGCATCAAGATCAGTGTGGACAAGGTGGAAATTGCAAGATTAGTCTTTGCCATATACAAAGCACAATTAAAGGCTTTTCTTGAATAATGTGCTATTAATGATGGACAAAATGTCAGGATCAGCAACACAATTCTTGGCCATTTTGGTAAAAGCTTGCAGTAAGGTAAGAAAATCTCATCTCAAACTCCTTCAGGTTTACCTGTCAAATGAGGTGGCTATCCACCCACAATTATCCACCTCACCACATGTATTTTGCAAAACAAGTGTGACCCAAACAAAACAAATCAATATGTTGGAAAGTATAATTTGTGGACTCAGCTATATCAATAGAAAAAGAGATTTGGAAATACAACAACAAGCATCTTTATCATTCTATCAATTATCAATTCTCACTTTTGTCTCATGGAAGAGGAAATGTGAAACTTCTGTGGAAGCTCCACAAGCTAGCTTAATCCTTCATGATTGATATCAATACAAGTAATGCAGTTAGTATTACTACATTTTAGGTCATATGAAAGAAAACTAATACAGCTCACCATAATCTTAGCAAATTTGAGACATACAAAAGCATCTGTTAGTCCACATACCCAACAGGAAACTGAGCTCATTAAGGAACACTAGTGACCAACTTTTGCTTCAATCAAAAGCTTTCTCAAAACAAAGAACAAAGCAACACTTGCAGATATGACACAGAGCTTATAAGAATAAGAGAAGAGAAACTTCGAAATTTGCTTGTTTTGTCTTCCTATCAAAGTGAGGAGACTTTCACAAAATAGCAAATATAATTTTGTGCCCACCCAATTACAAACATCATTTGATAGAGAAGCTCGGTTCATACCTTTGTGATACATACTGCAAAAGCAAACTCTACATCAAACAAAAATATTGATTCCTAGAAAAAGATGAATGAACGAATTCACGTGAAACACAGCAAACTGAGCACCACAAATTGTCAATTATTTTAGGTCAAAAGTTTCGATGATGCATAAGAAATACAGAAAAGGATTAAATTCCCATATTGTGCTTTTAATTATCTGCATCTCCTAAACAAACCTTCACAGCTGCTCATGATAGTTCGTGTTTGTTGAGCAACACAGGAGGCTGCCGGTTTCACTTCAATCTGGAGAAAATCTGGAGGAATCAAACATCAGTGCTATGTCTCCGAAGTCTCTGCAATGGTGGACAATCTATCATTCTTGAGAAATGAAGGATCCAAAAACTTGGCCGCAAATGCCCACAACCTGTACACATCCTCGAAGTTTGTGAGGAACCCCAACGAAGCAGTAACAACTTCCACCCTGGTCACAGTATTCTTACTATCACTCTTAGTCTCCTGGCGATTGTTTGCAGGATGGTGGAATGAAGTATCTGTTAAACCTTCTCCATGTAGATTTTTCTGATTGTTCATGACACTTATATGACTAAGAAAGCCAATGCCCAGGGAGATACCATTTTTCTCAGCCAGCTTTTGAACAATTTCTGGCTTGATCACTGCCCCACTACGATCCTTCACGTTGAATGCCACAGCTGCACCCCTTTCATATTTAATCTTTGGGCCATAGATCTGGACAATTGGCACACTGCTGCCCCCAACAGGATCTGGTAATTGCAACTGCAGTAATGATGTCACAAGCCAGTTGATCAGATATCGTAGTCTTAGAGTTGTTTTATTGAGACCCATCATGTTCGCGTGATCAAGATTTCTGCACAAAATTTCAGGCTCCAATCTGCCCCACTCCTGAGCATCATTATCATCAGCATCATGAATGGCATTGTCATAATAATCGTCATAACCTAAACCTAGTGCACGCCCAGACACTTCACCAGCATCAGAATTATGATAAGATACTTCTGCAGCTCCGTTGCCGTCCATGCTGAAAGAGACCTTTCGATCCATACTTGATGCTAGTTCACTTTCTTGCACACCCAGGAACTTTCCACCCATAAACCTGCTGTTATCTCCTCCCCTTCTCCCTAGCAGCCGAAACTCACCTTCTGTTTCCCTTCTTATGGCACTGTCTTTGAACTCGGTATGGTTTTCAGGGTAAATTTCAGAAGTTGTGCCATTCTCGTAATCATCATCCCATCCACAAACAGAAGTTGAGCTAATGATTTTACTTCGATTGGCGGAAGAAAACTTGATGGCACGTTTGCCTGTTGCATCTTTTACTTTGGATTCTTCCTTGATCTCACTCGCATAATGGAAGCATGAATCTTTTGTCCCATAATCTGAAGGCTCTTCTCGGTCTTCCTTTACATGGTTTAGTTCTTGTGAGACTGATAAAACAGCTGCATCAAAAGATAGGACATGATCATCACCAATAGGCCTCCTCGAGTTCATGGATGCAACTTTCGGTGACACCCTTTTATTATTCTTCCTTCTGGTAAACCATGACGGCGGCATTGGAGATCCCAACTTCTTCACCTTGTTCAACTGCCCTGAATGGTCTGATGCAAATGGGCTCTGCCCCAAATCAATCCAGAAGGAAGTGTCTGATAATTCATCCTCACTAAAAACTGGACTCTTCATTACCTCCCCGATTGAAATGCTCTCTGTCTCCTCAAAGATTGTACTTGCCCCATCACGATCGGAGCTGTTGTCCTGATCCATCTCGCTCTCAAACACATCTCTTACTTGAGCTGATGTGAATGCACCTGAGAATGCAGGCAACAGGGATCCTCTATGAGCATCAGACATGGATGATTCACCATTTTCAACGATCCTTTCATTATCGATTCCAACCAACAAATCAAGACCATCTACAGAATCACTCAGATATTGAGGAAACACAGGAACAATCTTCACCATTCCTGATCCAGTACAGCCATTCTGGTTCTGCAAGCTTCCCATCACAGATTTCTTGATTAGGAGGCATCCGAAACCTGTCGGATCAAATCCAAACACCCGGTAGAAGGATGTGATGATGAAATCTGGTCGGAAGAGCGACAGACCCAGAGAATCCATGTCCTTGGGACCCAGAGACCCAGCATCGAGCAGCACATGCCAATTGTTCTGCTGGGCCAAAGCCATCCACTGGTACGAGTACTTTGCCCCAGTCACTCTCGATTGAACGGGGAACACAAAGAGCCCGGTCGCCGAGTCCTTCTTCTTCTTCCTCTTCTTGCCACAGATCTGCTTCCTCAGCTCCGTAGAGCAGAGCTTCAGCGTCGGCCACCTGAACCATGCGCTATGGACCTTGGCTCCCTTGTCCCTAGCACTCTGGGCCAACCAATTCACAGACTGGCTCTCGTGGTCAAACATCGTCAACAGCCTCTTGTTCGCACGAAATGGGTAGCTCTCGCCGAGCAATTTGAAAGCAGAACCTCTACTGAAGGTGAAGACGAGACCATACTCATTCTCAGGAATGTTCAGGTAGTCCATGATCCGAGTTTTGATGTCGTACTCGGCAGTGCCTTTCTCGGCGCCACCGTATAGAGCATGGTTGCTCAAATTGGCGGTGATCTCCGAGAGGCTAAATGCCGAGGACTCCCAACTCTGGAAGCTCTGGAGGTAGGAGAACAAGCCGAAGCCACAGTAGTCGAGGCACACCCTGGCGCCCGCGGCGGAGAGGTGGCAGTACTCGTCCAACCTCAGCCTGTCGATCTTGTTCGACGACTGGTACTTGGGGTACATGATGACGAACTTGGAGAAGGCCTCCTCGAGGGCGGGAATGTCATCGGCGGAGAGGAAGGTGCGCTCGGCGGCGAGGGCGGTGGCCCGCAGGAACTCCCGCTGGGCGCGGAGGCAGGCGAGCGATCTCGACCGGCTGATGGAGCCCTCGTCTTCGGCCTCGGGGTCCATGCCCTGGGACTTGAACAGGGAGCCATCCTCAGAGGCCTCCTCCAGGGCCTCGCGGAGCTTGCTCTCCTGCAGCTGCCGGAGCATCGAGGGCCGCCGCTGCCTGGCCCCTTCCTCCGACGAACCACCGGTGGCGGCGCCGCCTCGCCACCGGCTCTTCTTGTCGAGGATCAGGGCGGCGCAGTGGGAAATGGGCTTCCATAGAGAGAGATGCATGTATGCTGCTCATCCAAGCCCTCCCAGCCAAGAACCTTAGAAGGCCATCAGGCTCAGATCAAAAGTCTCGCTTCGGAGGAGCACAAAGAGTGTAAAGATCCGAACTTTCTTTCAAAAACTAAACTCCAAATGATCCAGACGAGATCGAGCTGGAAAAGAGAATGGAAGTAAAGGTAAAGATTCAGTAAACTTTTGCTTTTGCAACATTCAAACCCTAATCTCCGCCACTCCCATTGAAGGCTCGCAAAGATGACAACTTTGAGAAGACTCGGACCTCATCCATCGAAGGAAAGAGAGAGAGGGGGAGTAGCGAAACAAAAGGTTGAAAGTATGATTTCCGAACACAAAACCCCTTTTCCTTTTCCTTTTTCTCAATCAGATCAGAGGCCAAAGAGCCAAACCCAACAGAGCTGGATTCAGACCAGAACAAGGAGGTGGAGGAAGGCAAGCAAATGGAACAGAGATCCAGCGAAACCTCAACGATTCAACCAAAGAGAGAAGCAACACAGCACACAAAACAGATCAAAGGGGATGATCTTGTGGCCTCCAAGACAGTCCAGAAAGAAGTCAAAACAGATCTTTCCTTGTCAAGGTTGAAACAACACCGAGCTCGCACGCTCACTGACTCTCCCTCCCAACTGCTTTCTCTCTCTCTCTCTGTCCCTCCTCACTCTTTCTCTTTTAATGTCTCCCTCCCTGTTTGTTCATCTTCACCAACCCTTCCCTGCAGCAAATTAAAGGCAGGCCACCTCTGCCATCAGCTCCATTACTACAATGGTCAAGCCACACAAGCATGCATTGATTGTGTGCCACCACCCAAAACAACCCCTCTCTTCTCTCCTCTCCCTCTCTCCTCCTCAACTCTCAGTAAAAGAGCATAACAAGGAAAGACAAGTCTGGTAACAAACAAATGAGCTCATTGTTTACAGTGTCAAGAACAACAAGAATAGGATGCTCATTGACTTATCAAACTGCCACATCACTCTCATCAACCAATCCATCATGGGATGTGTACTGTAGTGGTCCTCTTTCCACCTCTTGTGGTTTGGTTATAAGTCAATCAATCACCTGCTCTACATTGAGTTAATGTGGTGCAGCCTAAAGCACTGGCAAGTTATTCTAGATTCTCATCTTTGTTTCTGTACATCTTAGCCCCCTTGTTCTTCACTGTTTATGGAGACTCCTCTGTGATCAAGATGTTGGGATTGGCATTTGGTTTCCTTCCATTAGGAGCAAATTAGTATAGTTCTATCTACATCTTATGTCATTCATTATCTTACCTCCAACAAGGGAAATGATTGAGTTGAATCACCGAACATCATACTGAGTACAGACTATTACTCAATGATAGAATTAAAAGATTCATATAGCATACTGTAAAAACTGCAATTTCTTTGTAGAACTTCTATAACCCATTAGTTGCATATCATAAACAAATGCCAAACATGATTGATTACTCATGAGAGAAAAAATCAATTAGAAGTTCCATGAAACTTCCTAAAATGACAAGTCATCATGATGTCAAAGTGAAACTTTCTTTGAAATTTGTTACCATAAGATAATATATCCTAATCAAACAGAAGCTTAGATTGGACCACACTCATCAACACTATCAATTTGGTCGCCATCATTCCAGCAAATCATTATCGCCTCCTATGGAAAACACTTTGACAACTATTTATGAAAAGAAGGGTCCTGTAATTTGACCAGGAGCTGGATAAGAAGCCATCTATCTCATTGGGGAGGAGTCATGTGGAAGTCAGGCTGTGTTTAGAACATTGACATTGGAGATGTTGGCAGGTCAGCACAGGAAGATTTCAGCTACTCAATCTTCCATTCAAACCAAAATCTTTCTGCTGCCAACAAAATAGTCAATCCAATGAGATTTTTATTTGTTTTTCTGTTAACATAGCCTCTTCTATCTCTATCTTCTTTCAGATAGATTCTCTCTTGTCTTCTTTTTCCTGTTGACCAAAGGCACTTAATTGTCTTCTTCTTGTCAAGTAGCACAAGCCTCAAGCAACAAAAAGTTGACATGGGGAAATGCCCCCACCCCCCTCCCCCCCCTTTGGCTTTTGCAAGCAGCAGTTCAGATGTTAACAAATGAATGTGGCTTAAATAGTCATTCTGCTGTGTTTAAGGTAGGCTTTGTTCTCACAGAACCCAAAAAATGCAGTCAATTCTTGAAATGACTGCAGTAAAGCTTTGGTGGGAGCATTACACATGTTCTTTATCTGATGCCACAAAGAAATTACCTGAGCCTTACCTCTGTTTGTTGCAGTAAACTTCCATCTGAATAGTATCCACTGATTTCACATGAAAAGAATGGTCTGTTGATGAATCAATCACATTTCTAGTCATGGAGAACAATACACGATCACTAGAACTGGCATGGCCTTGCAGTAATTTCCACCTGGTAGTTTCTTTCCGCACTGTGACATCTTATTTTTCCCTCATAAATGCATGCATGGAGAGAGGGGTGCACAGTGCATCAAATTTGTCTGTCAAAAACTTTATACACTTGGAGGACTACCCACCTGTCACATCCCAAGGACAACCCCACCGCCATGGATTATTGATGTGTCTCGAGAGTGGACTTTGGAGTTCTTCACATCACCTTATCATTTGTTGTTATCTGTTGTGCAAATAGCTGATGTCCACCTCTGAAGCATTGACTAAACCTGTGCACTGTGCGCTTCCAATGCCTCATTTCCGAAGCAAACGGTGGCGTCAGCGCATGGCTTGCAGCGTTGAAGAAAGAAGCAGCCAAAACTTATGATACTGTTCTCTATAGTCCCAATGCACCCTTTTGGGGTTCCCCGCTTGCTTTCTTCTTTAGAGACCAAAACAAAGCTTTAGTTGGTTCATAGTCTACTAATAAAAGATTTGGCCCACTTGGACAATATTTAGTGGATGTGCTTTATGGATCAATCAAGAGGTGTCATCTTTATCTCAGATGGAGCTCAGACCCCATCTCTTTCCCTCATGTCCCTCTTGTTCTTTTCCAGTGATGATTAGGGCCAAGAGATTTAGCCTAAAAGAAAAAAAGCAATAAGTTCAGGACAAAGAAAAAGAGAAAAAAAAAGATAAATATATGATGACAGATTTTTCCTTTGAGAAAATAAAAACAGAACAGTTGTTTGATAATAAAAATCAGAATTTGCAGTTAAAGACTAATCATGCAAGAGAAGATAGATGAACAGCATAAAGTAGGTGATACTGAGAAAAAAATAAGCTCAGGAGAATTGTTCAGAGAATTTTGTTCTGAGCTAAAAGAAAAAAGAAAAAACTCATGAACAATTCAATAAATTTTGGTGGAGTCAAGAACCTTGCTTGTGTGATTCAAATAAACTTATAAACTGCACCTGATTGCATTCTTGGTTGATGCTGGAACAGTGCAGTGGTAGATCTTGGACTCTGACTCAAAACTGAGGATCATGGACCTAGGTTTCTGAGCTACAAAATAAAGTAGCCTTATTGCCTACTCCATTCAAGCACAAGCCTCCCAGGTGATTGGCTGAGCTCCTCAAGATTGCTTGTTTATGTCCCCCAAAGACTGAGGCAGTTGGTTGAATGTAATTGTTAGGATGCACTTTGTGCCCCACCAGAAAGTCTGGAAAAGAGAAATTTCATCATTAGATCTTCATAGATGATGAACTGAAAGCTTTACAAAGGCAAGCCACTAAATCAATCTTCCCTTCTTGAATTCAGTTCAATGGTCAGATATCTGAAGCAGAAGTCACCCCAGTACATTGGACGCTTGCATACTGTGCCTGCAAGAAAGTATCAGTCTTTCATAACCTTTTTTGAGGGTTCCATTATCATCCTTGTTCTCAGTGAAACTGAAATTTCCATTTGATTGCTGAACTGCTACATGCTTCACTCGGAAGATTTCATAATACATGCCTAGTCGTAGGAAATTGTTACCTGGAGGTTTCATTGCCCTGCATATTCCCATCTGGATTGATACTGCAGCAGCAGAAAACCTACCATTGCTTCTACATGTCGTTTTGTTGTCAAACCTGTTATGTTCAATTATGAAGTGTTAACTTTAATCTTACAGAATAATGCACAATCTTCAGGACTTCAGATTGGACCATACTAAAAAATACTTCACTTATCTACAATTGTATATGCATCATAAAATAATTTCATAAATGAAACTATAGGTGGCAGACTGGCAGTGACACAAAAAGAATATAATGGTGTTTACAAGATGAATAGGCGAATAATACACTCTCCAGTTCAAGTTCATAGGTAACTGAGGCCCATGGTCCCTCTTTAAGGGTATGTGCTACCCCCAAGCTTACTAGTTCATGGGCAAACTCTTGCATGAAGTTCTAAACCCCTCAAAAATAAGTGCAGAAAAGTAGACAAACAGTGGTCTTCACGATTTGTCTCTCCTTCATGCAAAGAATATTTACCCACGTAAGATTGTAACTTGAACAGCACTGAGATATAATACAAACATCCACATAAAATCCAACATGTGGAGGATAAAATCCAAAGCTCAGGAGATTGCAACACGAACATGCCCTGAAAAATGATAACTTTATTGTTTAAGCGTTCGTATGAACATGCTGTAGCCCATAGAAGCGTCATGTTCTTACTTGTTCGTGTATTCAACTCCATATTGGATGTTCTCCGAGCGTGCTAGATCTTTCAATTCTCTCTGCTCGACACTTGGAGATGATGACTCCTATAGCCGTCAGAGGGCTTATTTGATCTCGAAGCAATGTGGACCTGGATTAGGACATTCAATTCTTAAGATGCCAGTTCTACTCTGCCATTACCTGCATCAAGAACTGTCAGAAGATGTGGAAAAGCTTGTGAGTTAGGCTGGTGGGATCGAGTTCACCACGATAATGCCGAAGAGGAAGGAATACGAAGTCCGACAACCCAAAGCAGTCAGCACAGGAACTCAAAGAGAGGCCTTTTCATGTACCTGGTCAATGGCAGAAGAACGTGAGGAAGCAGAGGAGGCCAGTAAGCCGGATTCTTTTTTTCACCAGGCCAACTTGGCAGAAAGGGATGATTCCTGCCTGGTATTCGCATGTCCCAGAGCATGAGATTGATTGAGTTGTTTCTGGTGCTCGACAGCTGATCTTTGTTGGCTCAATTCTCTCAAAAACCCAACTTTGGAGGAGAAGCCAAGACCTGTAATTCTGAGGAACGAATCTTCCACCTTGTGAAATGGTGGATCGCTTCCAGCTATTCCGTCTTTCTTCATTTCCCCGTTCCCTTTTACGTCGGAAACAATAGGCAATCAATCGGATCGGTGGCGATCATTGTGGCCAGCTGCAGCATTTCGGTCGCAACATTTGCCACCAATGCTTATATACTTCTGAGGTTGTGATGGCAACAATAAGAATCGATCCTATATCAAAATGATTGGTTGCATGAGTGCGGTAATCAATCGCATCACCAGATGTAATAACCGCAACACGATGATTCGTAGCTCTCGATGGGACAGCGGCGCGACGGTCAGGAAGCAGAAGCATGCCTTTCGGCGCACGCAGGGGGACGATGAAAGAGACGTATCCAGAAAAGGCCACGACAAGGGCGCTGCCTTGGAACTCGAGTCCACCGTCCACCACCCGGCGACGGCCGACACGCGTCGGTTCCCGCCTCCACAGGCGAGGGAGCACGAGCGGTCCGGTCGGGGCAAGCTGTCCTCGGGAACCGGGGCGGTGCGCCGGCCAATGCCCTGCCCGGCCCGGCCCGGCCCCGGCGGCGCGATCGAGGAACCAACCCGTGAGCGTGTTGAAGGGAGTGGGTGGCCATGGCGCCCATCGGCCTCGCCACGCCGTACCGCATCGCATCGCATCGCGATCCATCAGCAGTGATTCCCCTCATCGAGCTCGGCGCATTCCCTAATCCTCCTCCGTCTCGCCTCAATTATTACCGTGTTGGGGTCCCATGACCTCGCTCACGTTTCAGCACAGCCATGCCATTTATCAAAAAGGTCCCTTGAAGTATTTTAATTAAAGATTATATGGATAATTTACCAAAGAAAACCCCCAATTTTTTAATATTTTTTTAATCTTACCCATGAATATTATAAGAGTATAAACGAGCGTAAACGAGAAAAAACTATGTCCCACGTCAAGCATTCATGAAATCGTATCAGAATCTGTCAACGGAGGATGTTCTTCTACCACGAAATCTCTTCTTTCTTGGATCCATATTTCGAGTTGCATCAACAGGAGGGTAGGTTTTATTTTGAGCTCAACGCACTTGAACGTATGCATCTCCCTGATGCGTCCAAGCTTTACATGTTGATGTTCATGGAGATATATATGATGAGAGAGAGAGAGACAGAGAAAGAAAAAGGACGAGCAGAATCGGCAGTGGGAAGGAGTAAAAGAGAAGAGACAGAGAGACATATTTGTCGAACACTGTTGCGACACTGTTTAGTTCAACAGTGACAGAGGACTGGTTTCGAGTTGATGATCAGACTGATGCATTCGTCCTCGCGCAGAAGGTTTCTCGTCTCCTCCCCCTGCGACCGTATCCATGCCAACGTACCAGTAGAGACGAGCTCCTCCCTCGATCCATCATGTCAGAAAATTCCAAATGCTAGCAGCCAAAGTTGCAGCAGCAGCAGCGGCCAATGGCGCCTGGTCTCGCAGGCAGGCACTCGGTCAGCGGCTCCAGCGTGCCAGTCGGCTACTGGAAACCCCGCCGGGGCCGCGAGAATCCTGTGGCCAAATGCAGCACCAGGCTACACATGACCCCACAGGGCTTAGCTCCAGGAGGCCAGCTTCCCCTCCCCTCAGAGATGCTTACCGCAGTATACCACTGTCGATTCCTGGCTACAGATTTGGTACATGCTGCATCAAGAACGGAGTGCGGTGTCGATATTGTGTAATCTGCTCTCCAAACCTCGCACTGTTGTGAAACTGTTCTCGTTCAGAGCTGAAGGACTTGAAGGTATGTCTGTGAGAGAGAGAGAGAGAGATGGAAACACCAAAAGAGCCAAAAGTTCTGAGAGCCAAGAGAGCAGCTTCTGATCACTGCAAATGAGGCGCCCCCCCCCTTCCTCTTGAACTCAGCCTTTGGAGCCACTCCGTACAGACCAAGACAACGACGTGGAATATGTTGATCTCTTTCTTCATCGCACCTTCCCAGAGGACTCTCCTTCCCTGTCTATATAAATTAACAACGCCAACTTCGCCACTCGAAAATCCTGAGAGCTATTAAGCCTCCGCATACATACATAGTAGACACGCACGAAACCGCTACGTGAGAGTTCGATCCTTGCTCCGGGAGAATTTGGGGCGGAAAGCAGGATGCCGGTGGAGTCTGGCGAGGGACGGCGGCGTCCGGCGGAGGGAGAGCTGCCGGCGGTGGCGGCGACAGCGAAGGAGCGGTGCCCGCGGTGCGAGTCGCGGGACACCAAGTTCTGCTACTACAACAACTATAACATGTCGCAGCCGCGCCACTTCTGCAAGTCGTGCCGCCGGTACTGGACCCTCGGCGGCTCCCTCCGCAACGTCCCCATCGGCGGCGCCTCCCGCAAGCGTCTCCGCCCCTCCCCGTCCCCCTCCACCGCGTCCGCCTTGAGGCCCGGCCTCGCCCTGCCGGCCCTCTCCGCGCCACCGCCCCCCTCGGCACCAGAACTCGTGGCCGCCCCTGACGGGCCACCACCGCCCAGCCACGGTTCGCTGATCCCCGGCGGCCCGGTCCAGGCAGGGCTCCTGGGGCTGGACGAGCCGTTCCTCCCCGGCCGGGCCGGTTTCGGGCTCGGCCTGGGGCTGGGGCTCGGGTGCAGCGCCAGGGCCGCGGAGGAGATGGGGTTTGGGCTGGGGTCCACCCTGCTGTGGCCCCACTCGCTGCTCGACGAGCCCGGGGACGCGTGGCGAGTGGGGGCCGGCGTCGGTGGCGGCGACTGCTTCGCCGCTCCGGGACCCGCCACCTCCGCGTGGACGGACCTCGCGATCTCCGCTCCAGCGGATGGTGGCGCCGCGCCGGCGAGGGAGTTCCGCTAGCTAGACAGCTGAAGACGATGACATTCCCGTGAATATTGTGTGTTGGAGGCCTGTCCACTTTTGGTTTCTCTTTAGACGGCCCACGTTTTCCGTTGTTCGCAGGTGTCTCCGATGTACCGCTATGCTTTGCTTTTAGAAAACACCCCCTCATGCTCTCTCTCTCTGTCTCGTGCGCCATTGTCCGCTTCTGTCAGCTTTTAATGTTGATTGTGTTGATCATGTAGAATTAGATAATATTCATCATTCGGGTCTCGAATCAGAGAGTTAAATGGTTAGTTTTGTGCTTGTTAACCCTTACCGAGTCTGGTCTACAATTAACGTTATTATTATTTTTAGTTATTTTATCTATAGTAGTAATGCCTTTTAATATTTTTTAATTTATTTTTCAAAAAAACTTGAAGAGAATGATTATCAAACTATTAAACATGCTGGAGTAACATAAAAAAAATTACTTAAAATAAGTATAAAAAATGTATTTTCTTGACTAAAGTATTTTTCTAGAAAACAAATTAAACATTCTATTCATCCCACGACCATTACATTTGATACATCATATGCAAAGCTGCAGTGATGGCAAAAAGTGTAGACCCAATAATTCCGGCTACATGAAATCCGATGTAAATGCATTTAAGCGAAAATTAAAGTCAGGTCGAACAATGAACTGGGTGTTTAACCGAGTCCTACGGCCCTGAACAGCAGCACTTGTCTACAGGTAAAACTCGTTACCAACCATATTGACTCGTCTGCCAACAATACACTCACTAAATGAGGTGTGTCTAAAAGATCAAGAAGGGCAGCATATGGCCGACTTCATGAAAAACCATAGTAACAGAGCACCAATTACTTAGCTATTAGTAGATAATAAATAGCAATCCCAGAAGCTAATATACAACTATAATTGGTATGCAGGAACGCACTGGGCCCAACAAACTGCGGTCAAGGTTGTATGCATTTGCTTTAATACAAGTCCCTTGAGATGAGGAAAGATGAGAACTGGGATTTGATACCTCGTGTGAGCAAAAGGACCACAACGAACATCTTACTCCCCCATATAGTTCCAGATGGTTAGTGTGCTGATCCAACCACAAGTTTACATGGCATAAATCATCTCTCCGCTACTGTCGACATCAAGATCAGGATCAGAGTCCAAATCCTCCATATCATCATAATCATCATCAATGTCAAGACCATCTGTCAGGTACTGATTGAGTCCACGAGTGCCAGCTGCAGGTATGGTTGCCTCAGCTAAGATCTGCATTATCTCATCAATGCTTTGCATTGGTTGATCAGGCTCCTCGTACTGGTTGCTCGTCCTGTTGTCATCCATCAGATCTGCAGGAAGGTTCCTCAAGAACCACTCGTGGTTGCGTATCTCGGGAATTGTAATTCTCTGTGGATTAACATAATCAACATATGGCAATTTGTGAACCAAATATCAAATACATAAGATCCACAGTAAGAATTCTATCCCTCGATGAACTGAGTAATTGTCACAAAATCAGATTCAAGTCTCAGGATAGTATTCCTCCAGAGATGCATTAGATATATCTTAACTACGAAAAGACAATCGTCGTGGTTGGTAAAAACAAAACGGCCCAATGCAAGTCAATTCCTGGGACAATTTCCCAATAACATAATGATATCCTCCCTACCTGGAACAAAAATTTGTTCCATTCACTTCCCTGTATGCTCCTGGCCCCGATTATCATTTTGTCCCATTTCAAAAACCTTGGCACCCTTGAAGAAAGGCCTTCTTACTTATGACATATAGTACTAACAAGTTAATTTTTGTTTAACCAGAACACTAGTTCTATAACTAATGGGAAAGAAATGGCAGGTTTTGTGATTAGAAAGTCATTCTGTTATATTATTTTTCCTCAAAATGCAACTGAAGATTAGTCTTTTTGTAGTACATGCTTGAAGTTGTCATTTGGTCTTAATGACTACTTTCTGAGCATAAAGTGCTTACAGTGGCAGGATTGGCAACAAAAATTCTTGAGATTAGCTGTCGACACTCCGGAGATACATAAATATAGTCTGGAATTGAGTACTGAACAGTCAATATACGCTGCAACAGACAGTAGGTAGGTCAGTTAGATAATGCAATGTTCAGACAATAAAGCATTAAGAAACCATTACCTCTAATGTCTTTCGAAAATTTTTAGGCTCTTCTGGATCCTCAAAAGGATATGCGCCAACTAACATTACATATAAAGTAACTCCACAAGACCACACATCAGCGATCTACAAAAGTCTTACAAGTGTTATAAGGTATAGCACCAAAATAGTAACATGAAATGTGGTTACAAATATGGAAAAACAGTTACATGATTTGAGGTGATCTGTAAAATTTTATGTGAAGTCAACAACAAAACTAGTGAAAAAATTCTATTACAAAGCAACACTACATGCATTTACCTCTGATTCTTACAACTGATACTAAGATATAGGACACTAATTTTCTGTACAAATTAGAGTTGCTTTGATTGTCTCATCTTTTGTTTAGTGTCCAGTAACCAATATGTACAGACAACCAAATAGGACTCTTAATGTCAAGTAGTTCACAGCCCTTATCCAACCTAACTGATCAACTGGTCAGAGTTACCACAGCATATTGTGTTGCAACCACCATGACATCCATGAATAGTACCTTTAAATTATATCCTCATATATATGAACCTAAACCAATCAAAGTCGGGCAAAATCCCAAAACATACATAGTACAACATGATTCTGATTAAAAGGCATATGGTACCCAAAGGTACCCTTTTATCAGCCTTTTTAATCTCTTCAAAGGTACCCAAGTCCTTGGATTCCCCATCATAAACTACCATCCAAACCTTCACCCACCCTAAGTGATATCTCAGATTCTCCCATACATACTAGATCTTTTTACCCCTCCTCTTACCCTGCCACCCCTATTTTCTAATCCACGATTCCTAAAATGTAACTCTTCTTGGCCATCACTAGTTATGGATATTTTTCTTTATCAAGAAAACAAACACTTTGATGAATATGACATGAAGTTGTATAAACGAGCAACTAGGACTCCTATGCAAAATGTAGCAGAAGCATCCTCTTTTCATTTTCGTACCCCTGATGAAATCATCATCATTAAGTTACAGAAAGAAGAAATTATTATTCACCACAAAATGTGGCAAATAACAGTTTCATTAGCATAAACAGTAAGATCAATATTGTTTGTTTAAATAATTTATTTCTCCCTTTCAAACTAGAGCACCACATTCATGATAAACGCCTTCCAATTCAGCCTGTTCACTTAAAAGGCACATGATAAACCAAGCCTAATTGTATTATTGGGTTGTAATATAGGGTTTAATCATAAATATTGAGTTCATCCTTCAAGGAATGAAGAATCCATCTTCCAATGCAGCTTATATAAGAGTATACTCCTTTTTCTGAAAGTTAAGCTTTGGAAGTCAGCATAGAAGATCCTATTATTAAACCAGCAAGTGAACTGCAAGGGATAAACCAAATTTGGATGAAAAAAGAAACGGACAACTAAAAACAATAGTACCATGTGAACAAATATCTCAATAGTTGTTTTAGGACAAATTCTTAAGTCAGAATGGGATAATTTAACAGGAGCCAAATATTTTAATAGGCTTTTTAGGTCTGACTCCATGTATATGATAGGAAAAGCATCACAGAATTTCTAGACGTACATCAAGTTAAAAGATCTGATAACATAATGGCATTACTAGCGATAAAAAAGCAGACCGTTTGAATGCTATGTAAACCTCATCATTATTCAGTATGGAACTAGAAAAAACATGATGACAAGGAATGCTATGTAAGAAAAATATACCTTGCCGTCATATTCCTTCTTGTGTAGCACTTCAGGAGCAATGTATGCAGGAGTTCCAACAGTCGACTTTGGTTGTGAATGAAGAACCGATGACTGAAAATGCAGCATGCTAGTAACTTAGTTATATAAGGAAGCTAAATGTTTTGGAAAAACAAAGGAGGGTATTTAAATGTGTGAATCGTCTTTTGTTTAGAAAATTCTAGCTACCTACTTCGTAATAACCTAACACTAATTTTTACCTTGGAATATCCAAAATCACATATCTTCAGACGTGGTGCAGTACTTCCATCTAGTAAGGTGTTCTCCAGCTTTAAGTCACGATGGCATACTTGCTTGACAATAAGAGACCCACAAACAAAATAAGTCAAACATAGAAGACAGATTTTTCTTTTTAACATACCATAGAATTTTTGTTTTAACATACCATAGAATGACAGTAGCTGACTCCTGATATTAGTTGCTGGAAGAAGAATCGTGCCTTCAAGGAAGAATGCACAAAGTTGGGACCAGTTTAACCATAAAACAGATATTCTGAAAGAGTAAAAATAAGGTAAACTAGAACCTCATCCTCGCTGAAACGTCCAGCATTGCAGATACGCTCGAAAAGCTCGCCACCAGAGGCATATTCCATTACAATAGCAAGATGGGTTGGAGTTAAAATAACCTAAGGAAATTGCAGCAGCATAAACAGATGAAAAATTACCAATTATTTCCTAAAAGCAAGAAGATATGCCTTTGGACATGAAGTTACCTCTTTGAACCTGATGATATTTGGATGCCTCAAAGATCTGTGGTTAATTATCTCTCTTTGAACATTTTCATCTATCTGTACAAGAAAATAGAGACCAATTAAGACGTCATCATTAACATAGTTGTGTGAATGTAGTAGTGTGTCTGACTACTTCTATCTCAAGTTCAATGTTACTCTCGTCATAATGCAGCTAACCAAACAGATAGACATAACGAAAAAAAAAAAAAAAAAACCTTAGTAATGTTGCCAAATCACCAATGCCCCTAGATTATACACTATATTGCCCTGTGTTTTTGCTTCCTTGGCAAGTTAGATGACAAACTATGGTGGTTTATGGAGTCTTTACCCAATATACCTAATACCTCTTCAAAGATAGAAAATAAGTGCTAGCACAGAAGTTGAACATATGTGATTCCCCAACAGCAGCTATTCAATGTACATGATGCTTTTAACATGATACGGAGAGAGTCAAACAAATCATGTGAACTTCAACACAACAAAGATCATGCAAGAAGGACAATAAAAATTACCATGAACATGGTTTTATCTATCAAATGGGACGTCAAAAATGAAGCCCCAAAAC